GCCCATTGTCCAATTGGCCCACGAGCAACTAGCAGCCCACAAAAAACAGCACCAGAGGCCATCGTTGCTTCCTGCTCAGCTGGTTGGCACCTAGCGAGTCGCGACAAGTCCCAGCATCTCCATTCGGAATTGGCGGTGCTGGCCAGCGGCTAGCATCGCAGCAACCAGCAGAGCATCACGGGACTGCGGCAGCCGGCTAACCGCCTTACTGCCCCCCGGCTCCTCTCGATTCGGCCCCTCACCAGTCTCGGTGCTGGTGGCCAGCGTTCCGAAGGCACAAAGCCGCAGTGGAGCCGCTGGAGGACAGGCACCGGCCGGGCGTGGGCGTGGAGCCGCTCGCACATGGCCCATGCAACGTGACGCCCGCGGGAGGGCCGCCGCTGGCTGCTGGTCTCGACGCGAACGCACCGGCCGCCGGCCGGTTATATAACTTACAAATCACGGCCCACCATCTTGCGCTGCAAGAAGAAGTCGCACCACGCGCGGACCATCACCTTCTCGTTTGATCTCCACTAATTGGCCCACGCCCTGATCGGGGGCATCCAACCACTCTATGGTTTGGTGGCCCCCATCGTACAGCACCATAAAAGGGAAGTTGGGGCCGGGACACGAGGTACGAGGTTCCCCTGAGCCGCCAAACGCCCCACCTCTATTCCAACCCTAGACCGATTGAGAGGGGTGTTGTAAGCGACGGAAGTCCACTGCCATGACCGGACTGCGGCACCTCGCGTCGTCATCGGTCATAGTCACTGCACCTCACCTCCGACATGGCCGTGAGCGCACTAGCTACCAAGGTACACGGACAAGTGTTTTTACCCGCTAGATCTGTACCTAGAGGTTTAGAAATATCTATCATTGGTACCAGAGCCAGGCTTTCTAAGGTGTAGATCTAGTTTGGGGTAGAAAACTGAAAAGAAATAGAAAGGACAGAGAAGTACAGGGTCCGATCCGGTTCGGATTGGAACCCTAACCCCAGTCGGGGTGAAGAAATGAGAAAAAAGAGGGTTCAATTCGACCGATTTGGATCAACCCAAACACGAACCCTAACCCTAACCGGCGAAACCCGAACCCTTGACCCAAACCCTAATCTAGAAGAAAGAAAGAAAAGAGAACAGACCGGCCAAATCTGCAATCGGGGAAGGGGAAGAAGCAAAGAAACAGAGGGTTTGAACCCTAACTCAAACCCCAAGCACTAACCCGAACCCTAATCCATCGGGGAAGAAAAATAGTAACCGATCTCTAACCCTAACCCTAAATCGGATCAGCTCTGAGAAGAAGGGGAAACAGGATGTGAACAGAGAGAAGAAAGAAGGGGAAAGGGGGGAGAGCATGGGAGGCGGCTCGCCGGCCTCCACTCACCGGGTCACCAGGGAAGGACCTCAGCGCCGGTACAGACCGGCCGCGCTAGGGCACCGCTGACAGGCCGCTCGACGGCGGCGCACTCACCCGCTGGGGAGCGCGCCGGTCGACGAGAGGGCCAGCGACGGTGCCATCATCCTCTTCTTCTCCGGTCTCTCTCTCTAGTGGACGCTGCGCTCGTCTCTCCACCGCGGCGCTGAGGAAAGAAGAAAGAGAAAGCGAAGAAAGAAATGGGTTTAGGGTTTCAGCGGAGCGACGCGACGTGGGTTTTGTTCGACCGGAGGCTGGCCTAGGCGGGCGTGAGCGGACGAGCCGCTTGTCCGGCCCAGACCCAGGTTGCGGCCTGGGAGGGAGCCGCACACAAGCACGCAAGGCAGGCCGGGCCGTTTTCTTGGTCGGGCCAAAGAAACAGTATTGATTCGAGTCCATTTTTCTTTTTTCTTTTCCAGTAAATCGTTATTTCTTGGAAAATGATTAATGGCTCAAAAAAATTAGTAAAGAGAATTTCCCTGTGGGTAAAATTCACAAATTATGTGTAAGTTTCCGCTGCAAAGTTTAATGTTTATTATCTTTTAATTAAATTCGAACCAACGGGAGAATTTAATTCGAAGAGCAGCTATATTTAGTAAACTAAGATTATGTTTATCCTCTAATTAAATTGGAACCAATGGGAAAATTTAAATTAGAGGAATAGTCTGTTTTTGTTTAAGTAAGATCATGGTATTGTCATTTTCTGACCAACGTTGATGATGATAATATTACAATAAATTTAAGTTTGAAGTTTAAATCTCGAAAATTTTACACTAACGTGGTGAATTTTTCAGAGAGTTGATAAGAACCAAGAAATGCTCCTGAACTAAAAGAATGTATTCTATTATTAAGTTTCTGCTACAATAATGTTGATTATCTACTAATTAAATTTGAACCAATGGAAGAATTTAATTTTGAAGAGTAGTTATATGGATTTCAAGTTAATTTATGAGTTTTATGCATTAATTATATTTTCTGCCCAACGGTGATGTAGAGTTGATGTAGAAGCATATTGTATGTTTTATTTTAACCGATGAGATCATCGGCTGCATGCCAACGGACTACAGTGCTGGGGTATGTGAATGAAAAGGCTTGAGTCAAGCCAGTTCAGGACAATTTTTGTTAGTTTACTAATTTTCTGATTAAATTGGAACCAACGGGAAGATTTAATTGAAAAATGAAGTATAAGTGAATGTTTTAGTCGTCATGACTAAGTTTTCGTATAGATGTATCCCGCATAGGGAGAAGTTTTGTGATGATTCACATGTTTTGTATCCCACGTAGCGAGAGAAGTTTAGGTAGCTCTTATGATGTCCTAGTATTGATCTTGGCACAATAGAAATGCATCGTCATGGTCAATACTAACCAAAAGATAAGAAAAGATGCAAGTGTGACTTGCAAAAGCACTGCTAATAAAAGACCTCGTTGAGTTCTTAAAGTGAATTAAGGAAAGTGTACTCCTAAACGGATCAAGAAATAACTTTGTTTATATGACACAATCATGTGAATGGAGTAAGTTAAAAGTGTCTCCTCATTTACATGCTTTTTGAATAGTTATCGAAATTATGGCAGTAAAGTTCATGCCATATTTCGAGGGGGAGAATATCAAGATTAATTAAGAAAAATACTCTTCATTAAGAGTGTGATAAAGTTTAATTAAGAAAGATACTCTTCATTAAGAGTGAGATAAAGATTAATTAAGATGTATGCGACTGTCGGAGGAGTACAACGGTCACAACAACGATACCCTAAGTAGAGAAATAGCTACATTCCTGGAGCTTTAAAAGTTCCGACAGGAAAATAGCGTAGTCAGCGTCAAAGATGTTAAGGTGGTGCTTAAAGCGCCATATGAGGTTTTAATAGATTAAACCAAAAATAAGAAATTGGAAGATACACTATTTTTAGAAAAGATGGAAAGATCTGGGGGAGCATGGTATGTAGAGGTATGTAGAGACCTAAGACTTGATGAGAAGAGGGACTGTGTACCCTCTCCTGTGACTCAGGAGCAACAAGTTTCTCAATACCTGTTGATGTTGTATGATCAATACAACACCTTTTGTTGGCTATTCGAAGAAGATGAATAATATAAACAAGGATTTTGTAATACAGGAGCGTGTGGAATCAATTGTCTCTTGGCAATGAAGAGCAACAACAGGCCCATATGAAAGTGCCAGTAGCTGAGGCCCCAGAAGATCTCAAAGAATTAGTAAACCAGTTTTTCTGATGACTATGAAGTCTATGTTAGTAAAGAAATTCAAATAAAGGGTGATCCCACCTCACTTGAAGAAGCCATGAAAAGCATCACTTGAAGAAGTTTTATCCTCAAGTTTCAATGTGAATGATCTTGGTGAAGCATCATTAGTTCGAGGAATCGAAATTCATCGAGATAGAAGAAAATCGGGTATTAGGACTATCGCAAAGGCATACTTAGAAATGATTTTAAAGAAGTAAAGTATGCATGCGAGTAAACCTACGCCAGCTCCTATACTTAAGGGTAATAGTTTTGGGAACTTTAAGTATTCCAGGAACTGATATGAGATCGATCAAAAGAATATGGTTCCATATGCTTCAGCTGTTGGAAGCTTGAAGTGTGTACAAGTATAAGTAAGAGCTTACCCTGACGTAGTTTATGTATCCGAGATATTTTTGGTAGAAATCCAGTTCAGATATAGATCACTGGAATTGAGTTGAGAATGTCTTGCAATTATGCAAAGTATCATAGGCCTCATGCTGAGTAAGAAAGAATTAGTACTCTCAAATAGGTGAGGGTACAAAAAGTTAAGTCTTGGCGAGATGTGTAGTGAAATCCACAGCAGTTGCTAACACTCGTAGTTGGAGTATTATTGTGGAAAAGCTAAAAAAAACAGTTGTGGTGCCATCAGTGGTGCATACCATAGTATAGCTTGTCATGCGGCTTAAGAAACAGGTAAAAGGAGGTTAAGAGAATTTGTACCCGGATTTAACAATGGTAGATAACAGCAATAACCATTTAAAGTAAGTTAACTCCTAAGACAACAAGTCAAGTGTGCTGCCAAACACATTGACACTAAGGTATATGTTGTAAAGGAGAAAATCCAGAATCATTTTGAAAGCATTGAGCACATAAGTACCAAGCAAGTACTTACGGATCCGCTTACCAAAGACTATCCACCAGTGCATTCAGAGAACACACAGTCGACATGGGTTTATGGAAAGCCTATGATTTCTTGATACTAAGGGCCTAGTTGAGTATCTGTTTCAAAATAGAGAGGTGCTCTGTAGCTGTTTAATCTAATGGCAACAGACCGTGACGATGAGGCACGCTCTATGCACTGATCTGTGATGGAATGGAAACAAGATAAAGTAAGTTAAATTTAAGGAATAACGTGAGATCAAGGGAGAGAATGTTAGTTTGATCTCCACGGCCATTGGATCAACGCCCTGATCGGGGCGTCCAACCACTCTATGGTTGGTGGGCCCCCGTCGCACAACACCATAAAAGGGAAGTTGGGGCGGGGCACGAGGTATTCGGCGCCGCCTTCCCCTGCCGTGTGTTCACACAAGGTAGTAGTAGATTATCTAACAATATTGACTCGTTTGGGATGAATGATTGCAATTCCACTAAAGTACCAATGGACTCTGGAACCAAGCTGGATGCAGATAAGCAGGGGGAGAGGATAGATGCAACTGAATACAGAAGAATAATTGGTCGTCTCAGATATTTGTTGCATACTAGACTAGATCTCTCATTTGTAGTTGGAATGGCAAGTAGATTCATGGAGAAACCTACTGTCAAGAATCTGAAGGTTGCAAAACAGATAATGAGATATCTAAAAGGGACATTGGGTCTTGGGTTGGTTTACACCCAAGAGAAGAAAGAAGAGGTGTTGGTGGGATACACTGACAGTGACGTTGGAGGTGATCTAGTTGGGAGAAGGAGCACCGGAGGGATGGCATTTTACCTCAATGACAGTCCGGTGACTTGGAGCTCCCACAAAGAGAAAACAGTGGCATTGTCATCTTGTGAGGCAGAATTCTTGGCAGCAACAGTGGCAGCTAAGCAGGCAATCTGGCTTAGGAATCTGTTGAGTGAACTTACTGCTACACAGCCAAAGACAGTGACCATGTTTGTTAACAATAACTCAGCCATTGCTCTTATGAAGAACCCAGTGTTCCATGGCAGAAGCAAACATATTGATATCAAATATCACTTCATTAGAGAATGTGTTGAGCGTGGGCAGATTGTGGTCAAGAGAGTTAGCACTTCGGAGCAAAAGTCAGACTCATTGACCAAAGCCTTGCTGGCAGTGAAGCTGGGGGTGATGAGACACCTTCTTGGTGTTCGAGAGCTTGAGGTGCATCAGGCTTAAGGGGGAGATTGTTGGTGTAAGCCTGCTACCGTGGCATTATGATGCGGAGGGCAGCAGCAGCAAGCAATTCAAGGCGGGGCTAGCGAGCCCTCGCAGGAGCAGTTGTTGAGCCGCCGAGAAGTGATTCTGGTGGCTAAGCTTCACGAGGGCCTCTGGGAGCAGTTGTTGTGGAGAGGTCAGGCTTATTGGGAGATTGTTGGTGTAGCCTACCTGGTGGCCCGCGCTCATTATGATGCTGAGCATGACGCTGCAGGCAGTTGCATTGTACCCCTTTTGTATCACGTATTTAGCAGTTTGTGTTTAAGCAAGTGTGTAATAGATATTGGTATAAATAGCTGGATGTTTAGAGAGCGTGTTAGCGCATTGTAACTGAACTCTTTGTGTTTGTACTGTCATCACAAATCAGTGGAAAAGAGCACTGTCCTCTGACAGTTGCCAGTTGCCTTCATCACTTGTTCATGCGTGTTCCTGTGTTCTAGGCTAGCCACCGTGTGATCTTGTGTGTGATTGTTGATCCTTGACTCCAACAACGTAGCCTGTCCACCCACCTTAGCTCTGGTTATTAGAAGTCGCTCACGCTGGGCGTGCCGTTCACCCGGAAGCTCTCCTCGATGATCGCCTGGAAGCTCCGCACGTCGCTGCCACTGTGCTCGCACGCGCTGGTTACCGTGCGCAGAATCACGCCCAGCACGAGCTCGAAGAGCCTAGGCTGCAGTGTCACTACTGTCACCGCGGCGGCGGTGTCGCGAAGTAGGTTTTCTACGAGCACGGTGACCTCGGCACGACGGTCGACGGCGCGCGCTGCAAGGCGGGGAGCCGAGAAGATCTCGGCGGCAAGGAACCTACGGAGGGCACGCCAGTGATCGCCGTACGGTGCCCACAGCAACGTGGAGTAGCCGTATCCAAGGAGGTCACCGGCCAGTAGCCGCGGCCGCCCCGCTAGCACCGCGTCGCGCGCGGTGAAGCACTCCTCGGCGGCTCGGCCACGGCGTGCGCCGACACCAACAGGGCGCGCCGCGCGCCCAGGCGCAGGGACAGGATCGGCGCCACACCGCCAGCGCCGTCGCCGTGCGTGGCGGCCAGCGCGGCCAACGACCGGTGCAGCGGCTTGCCGAGCAGGTGGACGTGGCCGAACAGCGGGTGCGAGGGCGGGCTCGGCGCGCCACCACGAGCATGCCTCCACCTGACGACGGCCGCATCGGCGACGAGCAGGGAAACTGTGAGGAGACCAACGACGACGGCGAGGAGGAACCCTGTCGCGGCAACGCAGTGGTCCTATAAATTTTGAGCAACATGGAACATATATATAACGGGAGTCACTTATTGCATTTTAAGGGCATCTAATTAACTATTGTGACTCTTTGCTGGAGGAGTCACGTTTAACACATTGCATGTGGTGTGGAAATACTTTTCCACTCACTCCCTATCAGTGGCATGCAAATGCAAGTGGCAACTCATTAATTATTTCATTTTCTTAAACGCGACACTGAGACAGCGAGCACTTTTGATAAGTTTTTTTAACACCCTAGGTGTGCTTAGGCAAATGATGCACTCCTCCGTCCATAAAAAAAATACAATTATGAGATCTATACCTGTCAAATTAGTTTATCTTTAACCTACACTACACCACAACATCGCTTCACTGTCAGACATCTGACGCTAAAAATATATTTGACGATGGATGATCTGACGCTAAAGATAACTCAGAGACCATCTGACGCTAAATCCTCATTTAGCGATTTAGTATCTGTCGCTATAGCTATTCATACTTAGCGTTGAACCGTCTATCGCTAAAACCAAGTGTACCGTCAATCTGTCTGTCGCTAAAGAAAATGGGCCCCACATTGAGCTCGCGTGCCCCACCTCTATCTAGCTCGCTCGCAAATTTTTGTTTGGCCCACCAGTGAACCCTAGACTCTCCTCTCCCCGAAATCACAAATTCAGCTTTTCCAAATCATGAACAAACCACTATGCTATGAATCTGTGGTTGAATGTACTTGGATTCAGTTTTTTAGTATCTTTTTGTTGAATGTATCTATCTGTGAACATGTAGTCCCACTTTCTTAAAAATGTTTGAAATCTTTATGAAATGATCATGGACCAAAATTTAATATAAGCACGCAGAAATTTGAAACACTTACTTTTATTTGGAACTTAATACAGACACGTAGAAATTTGTTTAAACTATAGAAAACAGTAAATGATTTTCAAAATTTTGTGTACTTTTATGCAACAACATATATGCAGTCTATTTCATGTGAAAATATTTTAGTTACAAGTACTATTTTGATTAGAATATTCACCAATGTGTCTTAATTAGTTAAAATAAAAAATAATTAATAAAGATGAACCTTTCTTTCACGTGCGGCCTCCAAGCCCACAGTTGGCCCACCTATCCCTCCCACCCAGGCAACCCTAGGTCACAACACACACGGACACGGCCTATCTATCGAGCCACCGCTCCCTCCACATCCCCTGTTCTGTTCGCTCTCTCCTGCTCAGCAGCGTTGATTTGTCTGTCCCTAAAAAATGGGCCCCACGCGGCGCCGCGCCTCCGTCCAGCTCACACTCAAATTTTAGCCTGGCCCCACCCACCGTGACAAACCCTAGGTCCTTTCCCAAATCCTAAACGCAGCCGCCGCCGCCTCTTCTTTCATCTCCGTAAGCCGCCTCTAGCTTTTTCCTCTTCCGTCACGCTCCACTCTCTCTCTCTCCGGTCTCTCCCTCCTGATTCCAATTCGCCCCATCCCACCCCATGCGACTATGGCGAGCTCCGTTCTTCCTGGGGCTCGATGGATCTAGTCCTCGGAGCAGCGGATCCGGCCGGCGGGCGTCCCTAAGGTGGCAGCTCCTTCGTTGTCGATTCAGAGATGGCGAAGAAGGCGTCGAGTGGTGGAGTCATGGAGAGCGTCTAGCCCTGGCCTCGATCCACCTCGATGCAGCCAAGGGCGCTCGACGGCGGCGCTCCAATCCAAGGCGGTGCGGTCGGTGCGGTGCCACGACAGCTCCCTCTTCCGACCCCGCACGCTCCCAGGTCCCCATCCTGGTCCCGCGCGCTCCCTGCTCTTGGCAGATGGCAGCAGGCTAGCAGCAGCCGTGGCTGGGCCCAGCATCCAGCACGCGGGTGCCGCGTTGCGCCTGGAGCCTGGGGGCTACGGCCTGCCCCTAGCGCTGGCCTGGGTGCTAAGCTCGTCCCTCAATCTTCAAGGTACTCACGCATACTTACATTGGGCTTGCTTGTCGCGGTTTTGCCATGAGTTCATCTGCGGCTGTAAGCCTGTAATATGATAATGTAGATCTACGCCAATGTAATCTTCCTGACCTATGCTACTACCTGCAGGATCGCACAATACACGATACACAGATAGTATTAGAGTGTGGAACTTTGTTTGATATTTTGTGCTAAAAAGAAGAGAAGAAACTTTGATTATATTTTAATTTTATAACCGCAGTAGGTGTAGCTCACTAGAATTGATATACATACATGATTAGACCGGTTAAGTTTGGTATTTGTATGTAGCAACCTGCCCTAGCTGAACTTTTCAGCTGGGTCCGCCAATGTCTATACTGCTCTCTGAATTTCTCGTACCACCTAAACTAAGGATGCCATGGTTTCAGATGGTTAGAAGCCCCCAAAAAACTGAATTAACAGTATACTAGCAAATCAATTTTATCTAGCTTGTGTCTCAGCATTTTGATTCTCACAAGAATCTGATGAACACTGCACCAAACAGTGAGATGTTTTTGAGATGCTCCTAGCCACGTGAGATGCTTTTGAGCTTCACGTTGGTGTTTCTTCATTTTACTGATTCTTTGAATTTTTTTTACAGTACGTATGTGTGGTCCAGACTGAAGAACAAAGCCATTTTTACTGATTCTTTCAATGGCTATTTGCATTTGTAAAAGCATTTTGTGCTAGTTATGTTATCTTGTCTGGCTCCATTTGTTTTGATAGAAAATATTCTGGCCAATGTACCTTGCTTGATTGTAAAAGCATTTTATCCTAGCTATGTTATCTTGTCTGACTCAGTTTTAGGTAAAGGCACAATGCATTTACAGTGCTAATGCTAGACACCTATTGGTTGATTTAACTTGCCTGTTAATGGAAATTAGTAAAATTATTTGAGAAAAAAATAGAAGATTATGTGAGCATAGGTAGCTTGTTTTTGAATAGTATATCATTTTTAGTTCCCTTTTACAATATTAGACCTACTGTGACCAGTTTCATAACATGTTGTTTGATGTGTGTAGGCCTGCAGGTAGCAGCTGTCTACTAGCTGCTAATATAACACCTTCAATGTACAGGAAGGTAAATAGTACAAACCTATGGCTATTTATCTTGCTCCATTTCATTAGTATAGACCTATAGCTAGCATTTGGCATTCACATGGACACTGAAGCTAGCGGTTTCCGTTTTTGTTCAGACTTAAAACTGTTGGATTGTGGTAAATGAAGGCAGCCAAATTAAAAACAAATAAAAATATATTTATGATGTACGCCTCAGGATTAATTAATTAATTATATTGAAGTTGGAGATATGGCATGACATGATCTTGCTTTTTAGGAGTATGCTTCTTTTCTAATTTTATGTTTTTTTTTACTTTGTGCGCACTTGGAGCGTAGATGCTGGCGAAGTAGTTGGTTAGTTCTCCCTCTCTGATTTTTTTCTCGAGCATCTACCAATGACCTGGGATTTGTGATTGTACTAGCTTCCCTTCTACTAGCCTTAAATCCTAGTCAAGTAGTTGGTTAGTCCTCAATCTGATTTTTTTTTCTTCTACATGGCCATTGCATCTGGTTCAGGCTGCAGACTGCATGCAACATGGCAGCATTAATCTGACTATCTGAAGCAAATTTTGGTACTTGTACAGAAGGTGGGGTAGGGGAAGTGTTGTCTTCACTTATATTTTCTTGAGCTGCAATCGTCGACCTCAAATTTGTTCAGGCGCTGCAGCCATCTCCTGCTAGCCCTCACTTAAATGATAGGCATTTTTGTCGAC